AGAAAAATCCGCCAATAATGTAAAACAGTGGCGTGAAATTGTCAGTCATTCTAATATCTCCCAACCTGTAAACGAAAGGGTTAAGCGTGCTGCCTTGAAATCGCCTGCCTAAACTAAAATGGCGCGTGTCACGTGACTTTGTTTACTAAAGATAGCGTGGGCGTTTGATTGACACTCAACTCATTAGTATTCCACCAATCACAGCTACATCTACTTTCTGGATGTGCGCAGTCAAATTGTATAGGAGACAAGCTGGAGTCTCGTGTGGCGATAGCGATAACACCGGGACGAATGGTCTGGGGTAGCAACGACAATGATGAATATTAAATTCCTTTCATGCAAGCAATGGATGCAGATACAAATATAAAATCTTGAAAAACATTCAGTAGAAATTTTAGGCGTCCTCACTAAATTGTTACTAGACGCACAAGAATATCAAAATATTTCATAGTGCACTACAACTTTGGGACGAGTTGAGGGATTAAATACCTCTCCTGGCATCCATCCATATATCCAATTCTACATTCCTGTAAATCTCAGGATCTAATGCTTTGGCAACTTTGTAAGGAAATGCTGGTTTTCTTTGTTGAACTTCTGTTGACAGTCTTCTTTCATCAGTCTCCTTCTCAGATAAGGCAAAAAATATACCATTATTATTAGATACATAACACAAAATGAAGGGTAATGGGAAATTGAAATGAAATTCTACTAAATCAATCAATCATCATTTATTTAATTAGTAGTGTATGTGTGTATGTACTTACATAAATGTCTATGGTCAAAATTCCTAATAATCAAACTTAAAATAAAAGTAATTTTTGGTTTATGCGAGAGTCAACTGGAGATGTGCTCATAAAACAAACTCAGAATATATATTTAGAGTAAGAACAATAATTCATAGATAACTATTTTTCAAGAAATATGAAAGGCAAAAACAATGATCTGCCATAATTTTACATGTATTGAATGGAATCATAGTAGGTCTAAAAAACAAGTCCAGATGAACATGAAAGTCCAACATTTTTCCTATTTCGATAAGTATTCGGAGGTTGACGTCTTATAATGGCGAGGGTAACAATGTACTATATGGTTTTTATAAATATACTTACACAAACCTTGTCTCCATCTTTACTTTTTTCTGATTCCGTGGAGGTTTCCAATTCACTTGTACCACTATTTGAAAAAATATTCATATAATTATGATTCCAAATGTTTTGCTCATATCTTATCACATGAATAATATACTAATTCAGCGCTCTATCAATACATTAAGATGAAATAGCACCACTAGCCTTAGCATGGAAACACTTTTCCGAATTGATGAATATTTTGAGTAGGAATCAATTTTTGCTAAACCAAACTTAGTTTACAACCACATTAATGATGAAGACAAGTACTTATGTTGTTCACTTGTGTTACTCAAAGATTGACAGCATTTTAACAAATCTAAACTGCCTTTCACCAGACTGAGCTAAATTTGACATTCTGATCATACATTACAAACCGCGCTTTTGAAAAACAAACTTTTTGAATTCAATAGGGTCCAAAATAGTATGCCCATAAAAAAAGTGTTACAGTAAACCATGTTCAATCAGATAATTGTAGGTAATTTGTAGTGCCAAGCCTGCTTGCCTGCCTGCTCCCAAATAAAATGCATTACCATGCATAGTAATCTTAGAAAAAATAACTCTCCCACTCCTTCACCAGTCTCCCAAGCTTACCATGCATCAATACAAAACATTGCCTGTTGACATCATTTTGCCTATTCATTTCAGCTTTCTTTGGAGGCTTTTCGTAAGCGATAAGTAATATGGATGAGAGAGCATTCGCTACTTACCCATCATGTCTACCAATATTTTCAACACCATCAATACTACAATCACTTTGTTTTCTTTTAGATTTGGATCTTAATAAATCAATAGCTTCTTGAACTTCCTTTTTCATTGTGAATACATCATTGTATAATAGACCATACACTATAGCTACAATATATAAATTAACACAAGTTCGACACATTACTAGCTAAAACATAACTAAATGCATTGTAAAAAATATTGTTCATACCAAGTTTTATTTTTTGCACATGTTACTGGGACAAAATGGTGTGCATTCATATTTTGATGCCTCGTTTTTACAAAAAAAAAACAGGTAATCAATGAGCACCATCAGAGTCTGAATTGGCAAACTCAGTTTTTAACACAAAAACAAAACAACCATTTGCCACAAATAAAAAACTGCCAATGTTGTCATATTTCAACAAATTGAAGACAAGGAAAAACTAAAACAGCCAGTCAGCCAAAAATCTTTTCACAAGTCCTACTGAATTTCTCCTAAAAAGTGTATCACCAATAATTGTACTTGTTATAAAATAAGATTTATTTTAACCACAGAAGCAACAGTTACTAAAAGAGCACATGTGGTATACATGATAGACTCGCAGTGCTTGGTACGAGTTGAATTCTTCATTGGAAACTGATCTTGTGCAGAAGGTTTTACTTACATTGGCAGATGCCTGCACATTCTTGAAATGATTTGGAGTAAATGCTATCATAGTGATTACCACCAGAGAAACACAGTAAAATCTGAAAATGAAGTTTTAAAGGATTTAATGCGACAGTTCATGAATAAAATCCTAATTCTCAGTTCGATTCAGCTGGAGAAATCACATGACTATACCAGCTTCAGGAGTTCACAACTTTTGTTTTGTAGTGTATGTTACTTCCCACAAGACAATGCAAGATTCAGAGCCTGAGTGATTACACTTAACTGCTGGCAGTACAAGTGAATTCCATTGCTGGTTCAATTGTGCACAGTAACTGCAGTACCAGAAAACAGTTAATATTTGTTAGGCCATGGGGTAATTTGTTCCAAAAATTATTTGTAAAACATACAAGCTACCACAGGTTTTTCTAGAAAAAAACTGCAATTCAGCGGAGCCACCAAGTGGGGGGAGATGGGGTTCTCCCTACCAGGGTGTGAAGTTTTTAATAATTCTAAGTTAAAATGGAGCATTCTATGGCTTCCTTGGGGCCAAAATCTGGTCACATGTGATCTCTGGTCAATCAGAATTTTATGGTGGCCAGAGGATCTGCTCCACAGGGTAAGGGGTGCATGGCCATGGCATGAGTGCGCTGAGCTACTAGTATATGCAAGATTCCTTTGCATAAAGTTAGTTATTACAGCAACTATTGGACAAAATAAGAAATCTTAACCCACATAACCATATTTCTAAAATAATATAAATATAAATTGAAGTTTCCTACCTTTTTTTCGAAACCATTGTCTGTGATAAGTGATGGAGATTTCCCAATTTGTTGATATATCAAAAAGTCTCGTCTGTAATGAATTTATAGTTTTAAAAATATTTGTCAAAGAAACCGGAGAACTGGTGTGCTGAGAGTTTAGAAGCTATATTTAAAATTAATTCAAAAATACACACGAAATGCACAATTTCACAGAGAACCACCCAAGGTACCTTTCCTCGAAAGTTTCACAGCTATTCAGTTTGTGGTTTTTAAGAAGAAGTCTTAAATGTCAAGTTGGCGACGGTGACAATCAGTGATACTATAAGCTCCGCTCGACTTCGTCGACAGTGGAGTTAAAAAAAGCGGAAAGGCTGAACATTGAATTTTCTTAAAACAAATTTGGTAATTTGAGAACTAACAAGGTTGTTACAGTGTACAAAGATTCATTAAAATAAGATTAATACTAAAGATGTTGGGAAAAGCTGAACAATTACAAATTACGTAAATTAGGTATTTAATATGCAGAGATTTTTACATAATATCTTGTCTGCACAATGGCAAAGACCATCTATGTACTAAATTTTATTGAAATGTGATGATCAGTACTTGAGACATCAGAAAAAGCTGATAATTTACTAATTGTGCAAATAAGGTTATTAATATACAGAATTTAACCTAAAACCAATCAGGTCTATGGATTGTCTTCACTAGCATCTCAGATTTACTTTCGACTTGAACTGTCAAAGCCTTTCTTACCTGTACATTAATGACATGGCACTGATTTCTATCTGTCCAGCCCATTCCTAAATATATAAATACAGATTTAGTGCATGTTTTTTCTAAATCAAGAACCATTGTATGTGAAAGTAAATAAATCATTGATATACATGTAATATATCAATACAAAAGGTATAAACTAGGTAGTTAAAGTTACTTGCAGTCTGATTTTGTGTAGATATCTGCAATCTGATTTAAAAAAAAATTGTCAATTACTGTCTGTTTTATAGACACAAGATATATAACCTGATGTGCTTGTCTGATAAAATGTCTGTGAGAAGTGTGAACTTGATTGGTCCAGGCAAGTTGAACATATGAATCCGGAACTGCATTTTTCAAAAACAAAATGCTTGCCAGTCAGCCTGATTCTGATTGGTCTAGGCATGTCCAAGATACAGGTTTTCGGACTGCATTCGATGGGAACTAATTAGCATGCAAATGCAACCCACCATATGTTTTGCCTGAACCAAAATTAGTCAAGTGTGTCAGAAAAATGGG